TTCTTCAGAACAACATGGTGGGATGTACGAAGTACAGTGCACTCAACTTGGTCGATGGATAATTTACCAATTGCTTATGAGAGCGAGTGATAATCCACTGATAACGGTGAGTACTCCGATCGGCATGCTATGGGAGTGGCTGGTGATGCCCCAAGGGATGTCAAATGCACCAGCAACATTTAATCGTCTGCATCTTCGGCGCGAAAGAAACCTCCCTTTTTAGGGTTCTTCAATTGGAAGCGTAGCCTTTGCGCGAATGCCGCTGAGATCAAGAACATTGTGGACTAGCGGGTTTCAAAAAACCAAAAAGACTTGCGCAAGTGGCTTGGACCCGCCAACAACTTGCACAAGTACACCGCATATTATGCGGAAATGGCACGGCCATTGTCCAATCTCCCAAAGAAGGGTACGGAATGGTGTTGGACACCGAGCATCGGAAAGCTTTTGACAGGGTCAAAGGCAGCCTCCTTCATGCACCAATACTGGGGTTTCCAGACCCCGATCGTCATTTAGCGTCGACTTTGACGCTTCGGAGTTTGCCATCGGCTGTGCACTGCTGCGAGCAGACGCCGAGGGGAGTGATCGGGTAATCGCTTTCAAATATTACCAGCGTAAGGCTACGGAAAGGAACTACCCACTCCACGTTAAGGAATTACTTGCAATGAAGTATGCACTTGTCAATTTCAAGGTGCACCTGCTTGGCTCAAAGCCGTTGGTGAATCACAAAGATCATGCGTCATTACCGACTATGACTTCGTCGCCTCACCTCTCGCAGAGGATGGCCAAAGGGCCACCATTCTTTGCAGCATATAATTTCGAGGTGCAGTATAAGCCAGGAAGGCAGAATGCTTTGGCTGATATGATGTCACACAGACCGGGCTTTGAGCTTGCTCATGTCACGACGGTGACTCGTCAGTGACAGATTTAATTTGCGTCCATTACGCGGTGATAGTATATGTGTAGCGCTGCTACAGGCTCTCGGGAGCAAGGAGTTTGGAAAATAGGGCAAGAAATTGTCGGTGCGTTTGCGCGCACGGTTATATTGATATTCGTTGAATAACGGGTTGCTGTATTTTAGCACCGATTCGACGGATACGCCACGAATTGTGTTTCCTCACGATAAGGATTTGAATACCGTATTCTCTATGAGGCTCACGACAGTGGTCATCTCGGACATGAAAAGACGTATAGCGTGGTGAGTTGCTACTATTGGTGGCCCAAGCTGTACAAATGAACGAACACATATGTGCGCATGTGTGAGACGTGTCAGAGGGTGAAACCCTCTCCGGAGTGCTTGAGTGAGATTCTTTTTTTGAGGGAATGGGTGTATCGAGTTGCAAGCCCTATCATGATGTTTCACTGCTACACTATTGTCACTGTTTTCCCCCAGACCAAGAGCAAAGCACCAGAAGTAATAATAGAAAGTACCATGGTAAAGTCTCATGACGAGTATTATATGCAGATGAGCTGGACTGAACCCGCAAAAATGGGGTACGGAAGACCCTCCAGCTGCTAGCTTCAGACTATGAAATACAAAAATGTTGGTAACATGTCAACAAATCGATTTTTTAAATAAATTTGGTATGAAAAATATATTTGCCTTTGGGTGTATATATAAAATTAAAGGATTACACATCTCAAGGAAAGTCAGCTTTATTTTTATTAACATCGCCAAAGCTTTGTTATTAATACTATCTAAAAACAGCCCGGAATATTTTAAAGTAAAAATTCGCCGAGCTTGTAAAAGGGCAAAAATGGGCAAGACACATTTTCAAGACAGACTTGGCGAAATTGACCGCACAAGGTATGTTCAAAAGAACGCCTTCTAAGAAGATCGTTTACTGTTGCATGCATGAAAGGGTCAAGTATTTATCATTCACAACAGCCGTTTCTCCTGGACTTGGATAACTGGCACGGCACAGCAAGACCATATTTTAGCGACAAGTACCAGTAAGAATAATGCAAGCGCGAGTGGCGGTCAACACTTATGCCGGAAAGAAGGACGAAGTGTACAGGCAGCAAACGGAACGGGATTTTGTGTTCTTGATTGCTAGTCACCAAGAATGGGAGCCACGTAGGTTTGGATGAGACCGATCAAAAACGTTCACTACTGGTTTTATATCTTTTCCTTCAAACCCAAATCAAACAAAAATCTAACAAATTATGGGTCCAAAGACGGGATTCGATCTCCCAACGAATATAAATAATTTGACGACCACCTCGATGTAGAGTAGAATTTTTCAAATTTGAGCCACAAAGACATGTTATCTCAGTCGCGCAATGAATACTGGAAAAGATTAGCTGAGAATAGAAGCTTTAAGTCTGCCTTTGGTGCATGAAAGCGGATAAATGTTCAGGCATTTTCTCTATACCCGAAATTGGCTTCCAACACGTTTCCTGGAATATATTCCAGTGTCCTACCATATGCGTGATCAGAGAAGACCGGCGAGTATCCTGATTGAGTTTACATATCGTGTGAGGGGCATAATACTTGAGCTATTGAATGTAATGGCAACAAATCGGAATGGTGCTATATTGCTAGCTAGAGAAAACTGGGATTGAGTAGTTCGATGTATCAGAGCTGTGTCAAGGGCTTGGTAGCGGCGTTTGAGAGTGAGGAAAGGATTGTGTTCGGCACGATCAATTAGAGGCATCCGGGCTCACATGGAGCGAAGAAATCGAGGTTAATGTTCTGAACCAATCTTTGGCCGTAATCGCGCGGTGATATTATCTCTGCCATGTTTAGTCCGTTAGTTCGAAAAATCGATGTCGTAGCATACAATGATTCGCAATGAAAAAAACTTCAGCTCAAAGCTTGAAATCAGTAATTGGTCGGAGCATTACTAAAATTTGATGGCGGTGACCTATGATTCTGGTAGGGCGAAACAGATATTTTCGGAAAATATCATTATGATGACGATGTTTTCCAGATTAGATGTGCATGTCTCGACAATCTGAAGAATATAACATTTATCTCAGCCTACGGCAACCAAAATTAAGAGTCGGCACTTGGTTGCAACAGGGCGAGCAATGCTATGACAAAGTCACTTAGGCAAGTGCGGAAGACCAATGCATCAACGGTGGCTTGTCCTTAGAAAAATCAGGTCGATTTACACTGGTCATTAAGTACATGATATCAAAAGGAGAAATTTTTTGGAGCAAGCCCAGCAAACATTAAGTGAACAATTTGTAGACTCTTGATAACTTGATTGATTTCTTAGGTATTGTAGAACAGCCGTGAAAAACAGAAAAACTCTCAAGATGATGAAAGGGGAGTGTCACGATCAGACTCATATCGCTGGTTCATGAGAAGATGGTACGATTGTGCGCTATGCGAATAAATCTCAAGCGGAATATTCTTGTTTCTCAAAGATTGTATCTAAAGAGGTGGGCAATGGGATATCAGAGGCACGTGGTGGAAACATACCAACGATGGATGCGGAGACATATTACAGCGATTGTGGCTTTAAAATTGTCACATTATTGGAAAATGCTGGCCATTGCGGTGTCAGGTGATGAACATTTTTTTTTTTCAGTCGTACGACGTGATATGCGAAATCGTTTCACTAACGTTTTCGTCTCTTGTCGTATTATTTGCCTATCAAGATGGCCCACGACCCTGCGTCAGAGATTATATCAAAGACAAAAATCTTGGAAATTGTCTAAAGTGTGCGAAATTAAAATGCGAAATTCGGGATATAATCCCCTTTGATCCAATCGGTTTAGGCTTTTGAACGAGCTTCAAGGGTCAAATAGCTTCAAGATTATTGATATTTGTTTCTGATCATCGAGCTTATATTCCTGACCAAAACCATAGATATGGCGACCAACAAATTGAAAGCATCTCTTAGTGGTTCTCGAAAAAGTTTAGCAATCCCAATTTACGAATCGAAAGAGGTGGTGAACACAAGACATTACTGCAAACAAACATACGTGTCGGAAATATGAATCCGATGAATTCTGGTCAGGCAATGTGGAAGCCACAAAAGAATGTAGATCAAAGCAGTTTATGGAGAGTTACAAGCACTGAAAGTTAATAGGCAAATCCACTTATTGCTCAAGATTTAACGCATACTGCGTAAAATTGGGTGTTTAAAACCAAAGACCAACGCAAATGGCAGGTGGTTTTGTAGAAATGACACCATTTCGAAGTCAACAACACGTTGACTTTCGATTTGGAATAAGTGAGCAATTTTTCGTTCTAGTTCTTAAAATGTTCAAAAAAAGAGTCTCCTATTTCTATATTATTGTCTTCGTAAGATCAATTAAGGGTTTATAGCAAAAGGTGATACAAATAGAAAATATATGCGAGATGTGATACAATTGTGTTTTAGACACCATCGTTATGAAAAATACAGGGAAGGTCAGCAGCAGGGTCTATCTTTCAGGCACATGCAA